AGTTCTTTTTGTTGTCATTCTCATTATTAGGTTCCTTGTCAGAGGGCTCCGCGAGATGCACCCTGAAGCGACCCCCATCCCCTCACCAAGATCTCATTCAAGCCCGAACCCTTGTTCACGTCAAGGTTCTGCGCGTTCACAAACAAGGCCCCCCTAGAACCTCAACTGCTGCGGCAGGTTCTGTGTTTTCTGTGGTAAACCCAAGCACAGCCTCACGCAGCGCCCGGCTCTCGGCGCCAGTGTTGTGTTCCAGGCATCCAGCAGGGGTTTAGGGTTTAGGGTTTAAAGGTTAAGGGTCTAGGGTTTAGGGCTAGGGTTTAAGGTTTAGGATTGCAGTGCGAATGTTGGGATTTGGACCTTAGACTTAGCCATGTTCTCCCCTTGTGTCTGGAGCATGAACTACCCCACACTGCCCATTCAAGAGACAAACTTGCCCCCCTGGATTGCAGATGTCATTGTGGAGGGGACATGAACCCTGAACCCTGAAACCCTGAAACCCTGAACCCTAAAACTGAAATCTATACACCCTAGACCCTAAACCCTGAAAACCCTGAAAACCCTGAGGTTTGAGAGTTAAAGAGCAGCAGCTCACCCGTTGTAGGGTTCAGGGTTTAGGGTTTAGGGTTCAGGGTTTAGGGTATTTAGGGTGAAGGGTTCCATAGGAACTTTTTTCGAACCACGAGCTGTCCTAAACTTTCATGATTCTTCGGACATCTTACTGCGTAAAGCCCTGAAGAGCTCTTGGAAGCCGTAAGCCTTCAGGGGTTCATGGGCTTCAGGGGGCGTTCCGGGAGTGATCTGAGGCTTCTGCTCACACTGCGGTGAGATGGTTGTGGCCTCTGGCTCAGTCAGCCCCAAACCCTGAACCCTGAGCCCTAAACCCTAAACCCTAAACCCTCCACCCTCTAAACCCGAAACTCGAGACCTCTTGTCTCCTCCCCAAAGCCCTTAACACCACAGCATCCCAAAACTCTGAAACGCGAAGACCCTGTTTCGATGTATCCCTAATCCCTAAAATCCTAATACTAAATCCTCAACCCTAAACCCTACACTCTGAAATCCTAAACCCTAAACCCTAAACCCTAAACCCTAAACCCTAAACCCTAAACCCTAAACCCTAAACCCTAAACCCTAAACCCTAAACCCTAAACCCTAAACCCTAAACCCTAAACCCTAAACCCTAAACCCTAAACCTAGCAAAATCCTAAAACACCAAATCCTGCAACTCTCAAGCCCTTGGGGTTGCTGCAGCCCTCAAACTCCAACCGCCCAAAACACCCCAAAAACACAACTCCCAAGCACTGAACCCTAAGCCCCGAAACCCTAGAGACCCTAAAGCCCTTGCACAGAAGTAGGTATGACCAGCAAGAAGTGTAGCTACCCGGAAACCCCGTCAGCCCTGCATCCCTAAACCTCTGGACCCCAACCCTGAACCCAAAACCCCTCAAATCCAAAACCCAAAACCCGAAACTCTAAACCCTAAACCCTAAACCCTAAACCCTAAACCCTAAACCCTAAACCATAAACCATAGACCCTAAAGCCTAAACCCCAAAGCCCGAAGCCCCTGAATTCCTAAACCCCTAAAGCCCCTGAACCTCAAACCCTACACCCACCCAAAGCCCCCTAAAACACCAAACCCCTTAAAACCCTGGTACCGCTGAAACCCTAAAACCCGAAGACCCTGAGACCCTGAAGCCCTAAGTAGCTCCACATATCCCTCAAGAACCCTAAAACCCTAAAGCCCGACAACGCGGCACGCCAAAAGGCCTGACCTTTTTTTCCGACCATGCGGTACCGAGTCAGGGATGGAGCAGGACATCCCCCCAGACAAGATTTTAGGATCTCAGAGTACTTTCAGGGGTCGAAGGTTTGCGTTTCGTGGGTTTTAGAGTTTTCCAGGGGATGAATTATACTTTTTTAGAAACATTTTGGTGTTCACAGGTGTCCAGGGCCGTAGGGTCTGGAGGTTGTGGGGTTTGAGGGCTTTAGAGTGGGTGTAGGGTTTCGGGCTTAGGGTTTGTTGGTTTCGGGTTTCGGGAGGTGGATTGAGCTTTTCGGCTTATCATGCATGGCTGGGAAAAAATGGGCTTTGGGGATCTTTGGAGGGGTTGGAGGCTTTCTCAAGCACGAGTTCAGGTCCTTGTGGGCTAGGTCCTTTTTACCTTAAACCCTCAACCCTAAACCCTAAACCCTAAACCCTAAACCCTAAACCCTGAACCCTAAACCCTAAACCCTAAACCCTAAACCCTAAACCCTAAACCCTAAACCCTAAACCCTAAACCTTGAGAAGGCTTCTAAGGGTTTCTGAAGTTCTGCGGGTATCCGGGAGTTGCCGGCTTGGTGGGTGCGTGGCAGGTGGGGGTGTCGTGCAGGGGTAGGATCCCAGGGCTTGGGTCTGAAGGTTCATCGCTTTAAGGGTGGGCTTTTTGGGGGTTTGTAGGGTTTAGGGTTTAGGGTTCAGGGTTTAGGGTTTAGGGTTTAGGGTTTAGGGTTTAGGGTTGTCTTACGGGGTAAGTATCGTGGTGGGTCACGCGCGCAAGGTATGGGATCCGGCGTCAGCGGGGTCCACTGCGGGCCACAGTGAGACGCACTGGCTTTGTGATTTGTCAAATACCTCCAACTCTTGGGAGGACTGTGGGCTTGATAATCTCTGACTTGTAGGGTTGAGGGTTTTAAACTAGGGTTTGGGGGGGTTTCGCTGTACGAACCCAAGGGTGTCTGGATGAAATTCCACGACCTGCGGCCATGGTCATGCCATGGTTCAGCTTTGTTTTCCGATTGTGGAACGTGAACCGGAACGCCAGTTGCGCCCTTCACGCCTTGGTGGACCATCGTTGTGATACCTGATGCGCCTTGTTTGCCGAGCTTCGCGCAACTTTTCGTTCGCGCACCGCTGTACAATACTAGTAGACAGGAATGAGCAGAGAACTCGTGTGAAAGTGGGTCCTTGACCCTGGGATAAGCAACTCTCCACTGTTGGTGTATCCCGGCCCTAGGGCTTTAGGGAAATGTCGGGGGTTTTGGGGATGAGGGAGATAAACCTAACCCCCTAAACCCTCAATGAAGTGGAGATTTGCGGCAGGGGCCTCCATGCATTGCAGCACCCGCGTTGCTGGGAGATCAACCCAAGGTGTTGATCTTTTGGGGGGTCTGGACCCCAGGGTGTTCTGGTACTTCAAGCCCTAAACCCTAAACCCTGAGCCCTAAGCCCTAAACCCTGACCCTAAACCCTACAGCCCTAAAGATGAGGGCTTTGGGGTGTGGGCTTGGCATCCTACAGTGCCTTTTTTGATGTAGCTGCAAGATGATGCAAGGCTCAGGGAAGCGTTTAAGGGCATGTGTGGTTTTCTGGGTTATGGTTTAGGGTTTAGGGTTTAGGGTTTAGGGTTCAGGGTTTACGGGTTAGGGTTTAGGGTTTAGGGTTCAGGGTTTAGGGTTTAGGGTCCAGGGTATATATGTGGTTTTCAGGTTGCTCCGGTGTCCAAGACCCCCTGGCGGAACCGACTCTTTAATGCCGTGCCTGTCATTGCGCAAATTGCAGTTGACGGGCAGCCGAAGCGGCATGCGCAAGTTTGAGCCCTCAAATCCTAAGGCCCTAAACCCTAAACCCTAAACCCTGAACCCTAAACCCGAAACCCTAAACCCCAAACCCGAAACCCTAAAGCCCCAAAAACCCCCTTCAAGCCCTTAAACTCCCTTCAGCCCCAGGATCCATCAAGCCCCAGGCCTTAAATGCCCTAGGCCCCTAAACCCTTCGACCTTCTAAAACCCCCCTTAAGACCCCCCTTCGAGCAGTCCTAAACCCTACGGCTCATAAAGCGGTAAAGTGTGAATCCTAAACACCAAGGCCCCAGGGTTTGGGGTTTAGGGTTTAGGGTTTAGGGTTTGGGGTTGCTGAACCCCCCCCTTTAAGCTCCAAGCAAGATCCATCAAGCGATGAGTTAGGGGGATCGAAGGAAGAAGGGCCGACAAGGGCTCCTTGCAGTCATGACGCTTGAAATTCGACGATGGGCCTGTGTATATGGTTCGGGGCTCAGGGTTTAGGGTTTAGGCTTTAGGACTTAGGGGCGTGTGTGTAAGGTTCACATGTACATCGTGGGGCGATTTGATGCTTAAGTGGGTCAAGCTACCGTGGACGTCATGGCCTCTTCCTGGTGAGGGTTTCGGGTTCAGGGTTCAGGGTTCAGGGTTGTACCTCGCGTGGCGAAGCAGTGCTTGTGCTGACCCTGTTCGTTCCAGGGACAGGCACCCGTATGCTCACTCATCATGCAGTGAGCGCCTGGGTGGAGTGGTTTAACTCCTGGATTTTCCAGCGGTTGCGGTGACAACTGGTTTCACTGCAAATGTTTTGTACTGTTCCATCTCCGCAGACCCGTGGCTTTCCTGAACTGGCTGATGCGCTTGGCAACTTCCTCGACTGCGGCCTCGCATCCGGGGTTTCAGGCTGATTATTTCGTTAAACGGGCTTAGGGATTTAGCTAGGGTTTAGCGTTGCTCCGTTGCAGTTTGAAGCTTGAAAATGGGCCGCTCTTCTTTGACCTTGCGCCGTGGAAGGCAAAGCGTGACAGCCAGTCTGAGGGCTGTGAGTTGCCGCTCAGACAGTGCGCGGCAACCGAATGAAGCGGGATCTTGCGGAACACTCACGTAGTGGGTTAAGGAGAGGGAAGCTCCCCCAAGTTTTCATGCATGGAATTGAGACAAAGAGCTGGTTGCGGCCTGTTTCTGTGATGTAGTCCCCCCCCCCACAATCAGCCGTAATGTATCTTGTTGGCTCTTTCCCAGAAAGGAATGTCCCTTGCACATGGCGTGCATCGAGAGCCTTGTTTCGAAACCATGTCCGCGAATGCCTCCGCGGCTCAACACAACAGACAGAAGGTGTAAATCCAGAGAGGTAGCTCTCATAGTCAGAGGTGCCGTCCCCTTGGGGTCGCAGGTTTAGCAAGAATCGGGGTGTGGACTTGTCGGTCGTGGCGGTTCCCGCCTTCACCCTCTAGGGCAGATGGTGCGCATCGTGAATGGGCAAGTGGTGGACTCCTCCTCCGCTGCCTCAGCAGTGCAGAAGAGGCGGGTGGGGGTTTCTCAGGGGCCTACAGGGTCAGCAAAGATCTGTGGAGGGTTTGAGGGGTTGCGAGCAGACGCAAATGCTTTTTTTTCTCTCCTGAGCACCTTGAGAATTGCCATTGTCGTTGTGATGGTGACTGCTGTGCCTGCGCACTGTGCCCACAACTCGATAGCATCAACCCGGTACGAAAACCCGCCTAAACCCTACAAGTCCTACACTTCCCTAAGTATCCCGCAGCCAGAACTAACACCAAATGGTCAGATCCAAAGTTTCTGATCCCTTTTCACCTTTTGACTTTCGGTTACCCTGCTAGCTGCCCCCCCAATCCTGTTCAACCTGAATTATGAAAGTTGCCAGCAGTGGAAATTCAAGAAAAATGGTCTTGACCATGGTGCTCACAACAAATCTGAACTTTGTGGTATTTTAGGGTTTCAGGGTCAGGGCAAAACAACCGGGGCTGCCACCACAGTTCGAAGGGTAATTGCATGGTCCCTTAGTATGGGCCCTAAAAGAGACCCCTTATATACCCCGTCTATACCCTATACAACCACCCTTAAAGGAAGCAAGCGACCATGCTCAGGGCCGAAGTAACTACCCTTAGACGAGTTTATGTTTCGGGTTTAGTTAGGTTCAGCATTTGCTTGCTTGAGACCCTCTCCAACATTTTCTTTGCACTAATTTCGGGTTCAACTGCTGCAGGTATGGCAAGTCGGGATCATCGCCGAATCCTGTTGTGGTCCTGCTTAAGCCCTAAACCCTAAACCGTAAGCCCTAAAACCCTAAACCCTAGACCCCCAAACCCCGAAACCAGCGAGCTCCCTCGGACATGGCCTAAACCGTAATCCCCCAACCCTAGACCCAAGACCCTAACCACGCAAAGCTTTAAGCCAATATATATATATATACATATTATGTTTATATATATATATATATACATATGTTATATATATATATATATGCATATACGTCTATTGCATATTTTGTGGTGCTTACAAATCCGGATACCTGAAGCACGTGTTGCTGGCAGGAGATCAAAAGGGCCTCTAGACCAGGTGGCTGGCTTCTTTTGGTCGGCAAGGGCCCTGGAAAGAATCAAACCCTAAACCCTAAACCCTAAACCCTAAGCCCTAAGCCCTAAACCCTAAGCCCTAAGCCCTAAACCCTAAACCCTAAACCCTAAACCCTAAACCCTAAACCCTAAACCGGTTTGGAGGGGGTTTAGAGGTTCGGGTGTCGGATTTAGGGTTTAGAGGTTGGGGGTTACATGCCCAAATTGTTGAACTGCTGAAGACACCGACGCCTGAAGCGCCCGAAAAACTCCAAGAAAGGCTGCTTAGGGTTTGTAAGGTTTAGGGTTCATAGGGTTCTCCGGGTTCATAGGTTTCGTAGGGTTCATGGGGTTCACAGGGTTCGCAGGGTGCATAAAGTTTAAAGGGTTCATGGGGTTCATAAAATGTTTAGGGTTTATAGTTGAGGTTTTCAACATTCCTTGATCCCTAAGTTCTCCCCAACACAAGACGCGCGCAACTGGACATCCGGAAGGACTCCGGCATACGGATGTTATTCAGATTTTGGGCCCCCTTATGAGTTGCAAGCTCCTCTGAAAGTTTGGCATGCCGCAAAGGTCCATTATCTCAGATCAGCCCCCACTTGGAAGGAAGGCAGCCGCGATGTTCCGAAGTGTGCGAAGTCGAACTAAACAGTGAACCCTTAACCGCTAACATCCCTTAACCCTTAACCCTTAACCCTTAACCCTTAACCCTTAACCCTTAACCCTAAACCCTGTGAAGCTAAAACCTTGCCCCTGAACCCTAAACCCGAAACCCCAGACCCTAAACATCCCTAAACCCTGTAAGCCTCTAACCCGAGGGCCCACGAGGCTGCCCCAGACTCCTCAAAAGCTGTGCCGGTGTCCACGAGCACGCGCCCGTCAGATCGTGTCCTTCTTCGTGCTCTTCTTCCACACCATGTTCAAGCCTGGTGCAGGCGCCATGGTCCCTAAACCCTGAACCCTAAACCCTGAACCCTAAACCCTAAACCCTAAACCTTAAACCCTAAACCCTAAACCCTCAACCCTCAACCCTCAAACCCTAAGCCCTAAACCCTTGAACGTAGGGCTTCGGAGTCGCTGGAGGTTTTTGGGTTGGGCTCTCGCCCAGGAAAGGGGCGTTTCTGGCCGCAGTTGCTTTCAGGACTATATCCCCTTGGGGGAATTTTTTTTGTTCATCTAAAACACAAGAGGATAAAAAGAATTATTATTTTTACTAAGGTTCTAAGGGGAGTAGAGAGGACCCGTGGTGCTTGGAGGGCCCTCAAAGAGTCAAGAGACTTCGGTTTCCGAGGATTCAGTTCAGCGCCGTAGAGGGGCTTTTGCATGAGCATTCCTGTGTGACGCGTTACGTAGCTAGCCTTACTAGCTTCCAGAAGCCCAAGGCTCCCATCTGTCACCAGGTCCTTCTCCATAAGACTCCATAAGCAGAAGCAGGAGCCCCAAAACCTATCACCCATCCGAAAGGCCCTACACCCCGAATCCTAAACCCGAATCATCCACCCCCCAACCCACCCCTTCCCCCAGAGCAGCCAACCCTGAAGCCCGACAGTAAGCCTGAACACGGAATCCCGAGACCCTCAACCCTCAAACCCTCAAACCCTCAAAACCCTCAAAACCCTCAAAACCCTCAAAACCCTCAAAACCCTCAAAACCCTCAAACCCTCAAATCCCCTAAAACCCTCAAACCCTCAGCCCCAAGTCCAGGCGGGGGCAAGCGCACAGAGGGCAAGTCGCGAATCAAGACCATTAACCCAGGAGCCTGTCCTCGGGGGCCTAGGGGGCTCTCGTGCTCTTGGGTGCCTAGGGTATGGGCTGAAAGGTACTTGGGGATGTTGTCTTCTGGTTTTCTGTTACTGTTTGGTTTCGATCTATTGTTTTGTGGTTCTCTGCATCGAGGACTTTCGGGTTCGGGCCCTAGGCCGCGTGGTATCCAGGTCCCTGTGACCGATGCTCTCCCAAGTCCGGTCCTTTCAACTTCGGAAGAATCCGCAGTGTCGGCATCGAAGCACTTGCAGCAGCACCAACAGAGGCATGTCTGTACTGAAATCGCCATGAGGGCAGACACCGAAGGGAAAGAGCGGGGCCATGTGCCAGCTGATTTCGTGAAGCCCAAACACTGGGGCCAGGGCTTGAGGATGCAACGCATGCGGCAACCTGCAAGCCTCCCACCATTGCATGTGGAGCTCGGTCCCCCGTTTCTGCTTAGCACACTTGCGGAAAGGCCATCAATGAACCTGACGCAAGGCGTGCTGGGTCACAGCATCTGATGAGTCTGCACGGCATGTAGGCGCCCACGTGGGCATGCCCCGCTGATTGGGCTGAACTGTAGACCCTCGACTCTAGATGACTCTAGACCCCAAGCCCTAACCCTAAACCCCGAACCCTAAACCTTAAACACCCTCAAATTTAATCCTCAAGTAGGGTTGCAAACGATGGAACAGGGTTCCATCACGGAGGATAAATTTCGGCCCCGAAGACCAAGCCAGGAGAGTAGAGGAAGCTGTGTCGGAATACTTCCCGAAGAGGGTTTAGGGTTTAGGGTCTGGGGTTTAGGGTTTAGTGTGGAGTGCCCGGTTTCGCTGAAACCCCAGAGGTCCGCCCAAAAAGCCCGAAACCCAGGAGGCTCTTCCAACACGCAGCTGAATGGCACGCCCCCCTGCGGCCCGGGCGGTGGCTGAGGCCCCCGAAAACCTCAAACCCTAAACCCTCAACCCTGTTGGTTTTGGTGTTTAGGGTTGGTTCCGAAAACCCCTGCCCAGCACAGTCTCCTCTGCTTGTTTCAAACAAAGGGTTTAGGGTTTTTGGGTTGAGGGCCTTTCCCGATGTTCTCTGATCTTGAAGTGGCTGACCCTTAAACCCTTCAACGCTATCCCCCCTAAACTGCAGGGTGCCCCGCCTCCAACTAAGCCAGACGAAGAACTTCACCTTGACCCGTGTGATTACCTTGGGGTTTGGGGCCTTTGTGGTGTGTTTCTTGTTTTTGCATGTATTGTCGGACTCCTTTTCGTGTTTGCGTGGCCTGTAAGTCAGAGTCAGCGAGAAAAAAAGATAGGTGGATGTGCCCGACCATTCTCTGACAAATAATTGAGAATGCCCCTACGGCCAAAAATCCGAGTACACTGAACCCAAAACCGCAAACCCCAAACCCGAAATTAAATCCTAAACGCGAAAACCTTCAGCCTCAAACCCTAAACCCTGAACCCTAAACCCTAAACCCTAAACCCTAAAACCCTAAACCCTAAACCCTAAACCCCTAAACCACAAATCCCGGACCCCACCATCTCGCTGCTTTGTCCTGAGAAAGGCTAGGCGCCCGTCCGGTCATGTCCGGACAGGAGCCCACACAGCAGAAGCAGTTGGGGAGCCCAGGAAGCGGAGGACGCCTACGTTTAGGGTTTAGGGTTTAGGGTTTGCTGTAATAGGGCGTAGATGCTGTGAAGGTTAGGATGCAGCAGCGGCTCGAATGCTTCGGCAGGGGCGAAGAGCAGCTCTGGCCCGATTGTGGAGGGCCATCTAATACTTGTCTCCCACCCCACGCTGTCCGAGGCGGCAAAACCACCCAAACCTATTCCTTTTAGGGTTTAGGCCTAAACTCATGACAATCGCTTACTTTCAACAAAACCTTTCCGTCACCGATGGCAGGCACAAAAAAACACTTGTTGAGCACCCACCCTGCCCTGGACCTGTCCTGGACAAGGGGCAGGGGGGTTTTCTTGAGCACCCACCCTGCCTGGACCAGCTTGAGGCTCCCTGGTGCCTGGACACGCTGCGGTGAGGGGTCTGGGTCCTCCTGGCCTGGGGGCCTTGGGGTACCCCCCCCCCGTTTAGGGATTTACCTTTTTGAGGGGGTACGGGCCCATCTTGGGTGCTACCGAAGGCGGGCAAGCGACCTGGGTCGACTTTCGCCATAGAGGTCGAAGGGCTCAAGCGCCGCCCCCCCTCTGTGGGGGGCGGCCTAGGCCCTGAGTGTAGGGGTTAGGGTTTAGGGTTTTGGGTTTAGGGTTTTGGGTTTAGGGTTTTAGGGGTGTGTAGGGTTCAGGTTATCGGGTTCAGGGTTTCGGGTTGCTTTTAGGCAGAGGTTCTGGAGCCGCAGGATCAGGGCACAGGTTGGGGGGAGCTGAGATGTTCAGATTGCTGTGCTGTGGCGTGTGGTTGAGGCTTCACGGGCTTCGGTTGGGATGTTCCCCCTTTTTACTACCAGTCCTTCACAGGGATTGTAGTCACGCAGTGCTCCTTATTACAATCCCTATGAAGGACTGCTAGTATAAGGGGGACTTCATGTTATGCTTCCCCCCCTTCGTGTCCGTGGCTCAGAATTTGAACATTCTTCAGTCGCCCCCCCCCCCCTCCCTCAGTTTTGTACGGAAGCCTCCCTGAGAAACATACCCAGACTAGACCCTAAACCCTGGACCCTACATCCCAAATCCTGAACCCTAAACCCTTAACCCGAAACCCTAAACCCTATACCCTAACCCTAAACCCTAAGCCCTAAATCCCAAACCCGAAACGATAAACCCTGAACCTCCACCCCATCAGGCGAATGATGCGGGTGCGGCCGGGGTGGTGACATCGCCCCGACAGCCTGTGGAGGTGAACGGGGGTTTCGGGTTTGGGGTCTAGGGCGTAGAGTTATGGGTATCAGGTTTAGGGTTGGTGGGGTTTAGGGTTCAGGTTTGGGTCCAGCGTCTCGGAGCATCGGGCTCTCCTTTTTTGTTTTGGGCTTGGGAAGAGGTTTAGGGTTAAGGGTTCAGGGTTAGGGTTTAGGGTTTAGGGAGGTTCAAGTCTTTGGGAGTTTTAGGGGGTGGGATTAGGAGGTCCTGGCGTTTAGGGCCTTTCACGGTTAATGGGGCGTTTGGGGTTCTTAGGGAGTTTAGGGGATGTTATTGACTGGTTCCGGAGCTTAGGGGTTATGGTCTAGTGTGCCTCAATATAAGCAGAGAGAGAGAGTGTGTGTGAGAGAGAGAGAGCGAGAGAGAGCGTTGAGCGCATGTTGTATTTAACTATACTGGGTTCTTGTTGAAGAACTCAAGTTATGTTGACGCTTTCATGCTCATTCGCCAGATATCCTTATCGTGGCAACTAAGTCAAGCAGACCCAGTCCCCCAAAGTAGGCGAAGGCAAGGCGGGCGTGGAAAGGCCCTGTGTTCAAGCTTCGAAACATTCATCGGACGAGATGACCTGCGAGCGCTAAGGCTTCAGGGGTTAGGGCTTTTTCCCTTAAAGAGCTTCCTCGTTTGAAAGCCACACAAACAAAGGCGCTGAGACTCTACCCTTTGTGGACCTTAAACGCCTCAACCCTAACCTTAGGCTCTTAGATCCTAAGCCCCGAGACCCTACATCCCAAAACCAAAAGCAGCAACCCCTAAACCCTCAGCCCTCAACCCCAATTCTTAAACCCTAAACCCTAAGCCCTAAACCCTAAACCCTAAACCCCTTATTCAGAAGCCAGGTGCTGCTTCATGAGCCCTCTGGATGCTCAATAGTAAATTCAGCCGGCAGCCTGTACAGCCAAGTAGGGCGGCCGCGATGCCGAGATGTCTCGAGCAGGTTCCTGGAAACCCCAAGGGTTTAGGGTTTAGGGTTTAGGGTTTCAGGTTTGGGGCCCTAAACCATAAGAAACCCAAAAAGCCCGGAAGCCCAAAACCCTAAACCCTTCAATGCTCAAGGGATTGGGGATGACTCAGGCAAAGCCATAAAAACCACGCCCTAAACCCCCAAAACCCCAACCCCAAACCCTAAACTTGTAGTACAAACCCTCCCTCTTCTAGTCCGCATTAAGGACTGTTAGTATAAGGGGGAGCATCCCAACCCGTTTTCAGGGTTTGAAGCACTTTAGGGGTTTTCAAGCGCTTTCAGCGGGTTGAAGGGCCTTAAGGGTTTTAAGGGTTTTCAGGGTTTTAAGGGTCTTAGAGGTTTTAAAGGTTTTAAGGATTTTTTTGCGGTTTTTAAGGGTTTGTGAGGGTTTCAAGAGTTGTAAAGGCTTTGGAGGTTCAGGGTTTGGGGTTTTGGGTTCAGAGCTTAGGGTTTTCGAACTCTTCTCGTAGGGTTGCAGGGCTTGAGGCATTCCTGCACGTTTCACCAGTTGTGCTAGCTTCGTGTACACGGCCATGAGGCCATCAAAGCATAGGGTCCGTGACGAAAACCCTGAAACGCTTAGAATCTCCAGCCCCAGATCCATAGAATCCTTAAGACCCTGAAAACAAAAGCCCTACACTCTTAAAACCCTTAAAGCCCTTAAAGCCCGACGGTCATCAAACCCCAGCCCTAAACCGCCAACCCATTCAAGCCTCAACCCGAGCCTCCCAACCCCTTAACTCCTTAAAACATGACACCCTTAAACCCTTAAACCCTTAAACCCTTGAACCCTTAAACCCTTACACCCTTACACCCTTACACCCTTACACCCTTACACCCTTACACCCTTACACCCTTAAACCCTTCAACCCTTCAAACCTTCAACCCTTCAACCCTTCAACCCTTCAACCCTTCAACCCTTCAAGCCTAGAACCGCAAACCCCGCAAGCCTTGGAGACCCTGAGCCCGGTTCCGTCGACCGGAGGGGCCAGAAACCGCTAGGCGCCTCTTGCACGCGCATGCGCCCGGACAAAGGAACACCTCATGGGTCGTGGGGGCCTTTTAGGGTTTAGGGGGTTTAGGGTTAGGGGGTTGGGGTTTAGGGTTTGCGGGTTTAAGGGATTAGGTTTTTCAGGGTTCAAGGATTAGGGTCAGGGGTAGCTTGGTTTAGGGTTGCAGGCTTGAGGGGCTTGGGGTTTGGGTTTCTTTGGGGAAATCTGGGGCAAGGCTTGGCAGGCTATTTACTTGCTGGTTTGAGTTTTGGGTTTAGGGTTTTGGGTTAGGGTTTTGTGCCTTTACCCGCCATTCTAAGCCACACAACCCCCCAAAATATAGACAACCCCCCCCCCCCCCCCCCCCCCCTGAAACCCTGAAACCCACAGACCCTGAACCCTAGCAAGGGTTTAAGGGTTTAAGGCTTTAAGGGTTTAAGATCTTGGCTTAGTGTTAAACCCTTGAATCCCTGAGCCC